CATGCTGTGTTAATTGATGACAATGACATTCAGGACTCAATTGAGTACTTTAGAACAGTGAAGCATATGGGAGCTGCAGTAATGCAGACATTTGATATGTGGTTAAAATCAGTTGAGTTGAAGCTCCAAGGGGAATTGGACCTAGCCATCTGTCTTCATCCTGAAGATTCTATCAGTAACATTGGTTCTGTTAATTCAAACGTTTCTTTGGCTTCTGGAAGGTCTAAGTCTAAATCTGTCAGTAGTTCTCGTCTCTCACGGTCGAGCACAGCCTCGAGTGCAAGGCTAAAAGCTTCCGCTAAGAAAGCTGCCTTGTCAGTGGAAGCAGCTGCATTGAAGAAACGCCAGGATATGCAGTTGGAGGAATTGTTGTTGAAGCAAAGAAAGGAAAATTTGAAAATTGAGGTAGAGTTAGCGAAGGCCGAAGCAGAAGAGCGAGTGTATTCTCGTCATGAAGAAAGAATTCCATTGATACCGCCAGGTCAACCACTGGCTTCTCCTCCTCATGAAACTGATGAAAGAACTGTGGAAGATTCTGAATGCCAGGGAAAACTTCCACTCACACTAGCAAGTCAATTGGCAACTTCCACCCCTTGTCAAATCAAAGAAGAAGGAACTGTGGAAGCTCCTGAATGTCAGGAGCAACTTCCATCGATACCGGCAAGTCATTTGCCAGCTTCCACCCCATGTAAAATCAAAGAAGAAAACTCTGTGGAAATTCCGGAGCAACAGACAGAGGAGAATCAAGTGGTGAATTGCGCTCCTCTAAATCCACAAGCCCCTGTGTGGATAGATGACAAACAGTTCATCTCTATGAGCCAAAGAGAAAGTAGTGAAGAGGGATGGTTTGAACGACATCTAGATTTAAGTCAGAAGAATGTCAGCCACGTGGTCGAAGTCCAGAAATTGAAACAACAGCAGAGTCAGCAACTGCAGGAATTACTGAAACAACAGCAGCAACAAACATTAGCCATGACATTACCAGAACCAGAAATCTCTGTGTTCTCAGGTGATCCTGTTGATTATTCTGACTTTGTACGAGCATTTGAGAATTTAATAGAGACAAAAACAAGTAGTCCAAACTCCAGGTTGTACTATCTCGTTCAATACACATCAGGTGAAGTGAAAGAATTAATGCAAAGTTGTTTGTCTATGAAGCCCGAAGAAGGCTATAAGACTGCAAGAGCGCTACTCAAGAACCGATATGGACAAAGCTATAAGATAGCAACTGCTCTTATTGATCGAGTAACAAAATCTTCTCAGATTAAGGCGGACGATGGTCCTGCTTTGCAAAGATACTCTGTTCTTCTCACTAGTTGTAAAAATTCACTCAGGGAAATTGAATACTTAAGCAAAATAGAGAACCCTGACACTCTGCAAAGGATCATTGGAAGACTTCTGATGGGGCTACGGCAGAGATGGCGGGAAAAGGCTGACAGCATCACTGAGAATCAGAATCAGAATCATTCTGCATTCGTAGCACAAGGGAGTACGCCAGAGAGTCAGACTAACCTACCGAAGGGTAACACTGATCCTGTTCAAACAAAGTCAGATGTCAAGTATCCATTGTGTAAAGCGAATCACTGGTTGCCGTGCTGTGGAGTATTCAGAGGAGACTCAGTGGATGAACGAATCAAACTAGTGCGTAGCAGAGGACTTTGTGATAATTGTCTTATGCCAGGGCACATGGCGATGAATTGCCCTAAAGAAAGCTACTGTCAGATTATTGGCTGTAAAATAGCTCACCGAAAACATTCTACCTTTCTACATCCAAAGAATGACAGACCAGTCAAAACAGAACCTGCATCATTATCTGAAACGCCTTAAAGCATCTCCGGAAGTGAAGGGCAAAATGATCAAGCACGAAGTTGTTTCACAGAAGTGGTCACGTGTGAGGGCCTGGGGCCGGAGTGCCGGCTACAGGACTTGCTATAGTCCCAGTTAATGTAAGAGCTAAAGGAAAGGAGAAGATGGTTCAGACCTATGCGTTCTTGGATCCAGGATCGAACACTACCTTTTGCACTGACAGGTTGATAGAGCATCTCGGTGCGACAGGCAAGAACGCCACGTTGTCTTTAACTACCATGGACTAAGATAATGTGAAAAGCGAGAGTCTTGTGGTGAATTTGGAGGTGTCTGATTTACAAGGACTCAATACTATTGAACTGTGTAATGTCTTTTCGAGAACTAAACTCCCAGTTGCAGTTGATGACATACCACTCCAAAGTGATGTGGACAGATGGCCGTACCTGAAAGATATCAACTTCCCTTACATTGAAGCTGAACTCGATTTGCTCATAGGCAGTGATGTACCAAAGGCTCTTGAGCCTCAGGAAGTGAAGAGAAGTGATGGTGGTGGTCCATACGCTGTGCGAACACTGCTAGGGTGGACACTCAATGGACCGCTTGGCAGACCAAATAGCTCAAACCATACTGCAAATCGTATCCGGTCTCATGCTAATTTGGACTTGCAATTTGAACGGTTCTGTGAAATGGAATTCAATGACTCGCAGTTCAGCACTGAAAAGGGAATGTCACAGGAAGATAAGAGGGCTCTTTCTATTATGGAGGAATCTGCTGAGCTTCGTGATGGTCATTATGAAATTGCACTTCCATGGAAGGTCTTCCCTCCAGATCTGCCGAACAACAAGATAGTCGCTGAACACCGCCTTGGTTTGTTGAGGAAGAGACTGACAAAAGATCCAGGGCTACACCTGAAGTATACTTCATTTATGGAAGACTTGTTCGAGAGAGGTCGTGCGCAGAAGGTTCCTGATGATCCGCGTGATGGTTCGCTCGCATGGTATTTACCTCACCATCCTGTTATCCACCCACAAAAACCTGACAAGGTCAGGGTTGTCTTTGACTGTGCCTCGAAATCCCAGAACATCTCGCTGAACCGACAGATCCTGCAAGGTCCCAATTTAACCAACTCACTCATTGGAGTCCTGACAAGATTTAGAGTGGAGTCAACAGTGATCGTGGCTGGTATTGAGAAAATGTTTTATCAAGTACGTGTGCCTACAGAGGATGCCAAGTATCTTCGCTTCTTGTGGTGGCCTGGAGGTGATATGGGAAAGGTACCAGAAGAATTTCAGATGTTCGTTCACCTTTTCGGAGGTGTTTCGTCGCCTAGCTGTGCAAGCTATGCACTGCGAAGAACGACTGATGACAATGTGGAACATTTTGATGAAGATACCGTTCAGACGGTGAGACGAAATTTCTATGTGGATGATTGCTTAAAGTCCGTGGAGGATGATCAATGCGCAAATCGATTGGTCGATCAGCTATGCCAGTTGCTTGCTAAAGGAGGATTTCGCTCAACGAAGTGGATATAAAAATTCCTGTGATGTCATTCAGTCAGTACCAGTGTCAGAGAGAGCGGGATCCATCAGAGAGCTCGACCTGGAAAACCTACCCATTGAACGTGCCCTTGGCATTCAGTGGGACATGCAGTCAGATACCTTCCGATTCAAGATTGTTGTGAAGGACCGACCCCCAACGAGGAGGGGTATTCTTTCTGTCATAAGTTCAATTTATGATCCGCTGGGATTTGTTGCCCCATCGATTTTGCCTGCGAAAATAATTCTTCGTGACCTGTGTCGAAAGAGATTGGATTGGGATGACAGAATTTCACCCGAAGATTTAACACGCTGGGAAGATTGGCTGCAGGAACTTCCTAAATTGAAACAGTTCACTGTTAAACGTTGTTTAAAGCCCAAGAATTTTGGCCGCATTGTGTCTAGCCAACTACACAGCTTCGCAGATGCATCACAAGAGGAATATGGTGCTGTCACATACCTTCGAGTTGTAAATGAAGATGGGGATGCTCACTGTGCGTTTTTGATGGGGAAATCTAGGCAGACACTTCAGAAGTCAATCACGATCCCTCGTCTGGAGTTGTCAGCTGCTGACGTTGCTACGAGATTGAACAAGATGATGCGATGTGAGTTGGACATTGCGATTGATGATGAATTCTTTTGGTATGACAGTACATTTGTGTTGAGTTACATTGTAAATCAAGATAAGAGATGCCAGACCTTTGTCGCGAATAGGATCACAACAATTCATGACTGATCACGACCGAACCAATGGAAGTATGTCGAAACCAGTTCTAATCCTGCGGACGACGCATCGAGAGGACTGTCTGCTGAAGAATTCATTCAAAACAAGCGTTGGATGAATGGCCCTGCCTTTCTGTGGGAGAAAGAGGACCGGTGGCCTAAGCAACCCGATGTCTCTAAGGGAGTAAAGGAAGATGATCCAGAGATAAAGAAAGAAAAGAAATCCGTCTCAGCAGCATCCACAGCTGAAACTGACCCTTTAGACCGGATGATGCAGTCTTGCTCCTTATGGTATAAGCTTAAGAAGTTGATAGCGTGGATCTTACGCTACCGTTCCAACCTGCTGCGTGAGTGTCGTAGACGATAGGAAGACAAAGCTAAAGTACTCGTTTCTGAGAAACCTTGTCCAATCAGTGTAGAAGAAATGCACTCTGCCGAGATAGAAATTTTGAAGTGTGTGCAAAGGCAAAGCTTCAGAGAGGAGTTATCATGCCTGCAGAATAAAGAAACAGATGTCAAACGTACGAAATCGGTACAAACGGACAGAAGAAGGTCTGTTAAGAAATCAAGCTCAATCGTCAAACTGGATCTGGAGCTGCGTGACGGTTTGTTATGTGTTGGAGGAAGATTGAGGCACGCACCTATAGAAGAGGAACAAAGGCATCCTGTGATACTGCCGAAGAAACACCATGTTGTAGATCTTATTATCAGACTCTACCACTTGCTTTCTGGACATTCTGGTCAAGAGTATGTGCTCTCATTGATCAGAACGAGTTTCTGGATTATAAAAGGAAGAGTTGCAGTTAGAAGAGTCGTTAACCAATGTTTTGGTTGCAGACGAAGACAGGCACCCGCTAGTGCTCAGAAGATGTCGGATCTTCCTGCCGACAGACTTACTCCTGACAAATCCCCATTCAGTTTTGTGGGCATCGATTGCTTTGGTCCATTCTGGGTCAAGAGAGCTAGAAGTCAAGTTATACGTTACGGTGTGTTGTTTACGTGCTTGGTCAGCAGAGCAATACACATAGAAGTTGCTCAGAGTATAGACACTGATGCGTTTGTGAATTCTATGCGTCGCTTCATTGCAAGGCGAGGTGTCCCTGAAGTTATGAAGTCAGACAATGGTTCAAATTTTGTCAGTGGAAACAAGGAGCTCTGTGAAGCGATCTCTGAGTGGAATCAGAGTCAGATCCACGAGTTCCTGTTGTAAAGAAACATCAAGTGGCTGTTTAACCCACCATCTGGATCCCATTTCGGTGGCGTCTGGGAGCGTTGTATTAGAACTGTAAGAAAGATCCTGGTCGCGCTTATCAAGGAGCAACCGCTCGATGATGAGGGATTGACTACGCTTATGTGCGAGGTTGAAGCTATAGTTAACGGGCGTCCAATAACTAAATCGTCAGATGACCCATTGGACGCTGAAGCCCTCACCCCAAACCATTTGTTGTTGCTTCGTCCGGGCTCAAAGCTTCCGCCTGGTGTGTTCGTGAAAGAGGACAGTTACTCGCGCAGAAGATGGCGCTAAGTGCAATATTTGGCCAACACCTTCTGGAGAAGATGGATTAGAGAGTATTTGCCACAGTTGCAAGAGAGACAGAAATGGGTCTATCCGTCAAGGACCTTTGCTGTTAATGACGTTGTGCTTGTGGTCGACTCTAGAGTACCAAGATCGTCCTGGCCTCTCGGTCGTGTTACCAGTGTACACAAGAGCAGCAAAGATGAACGTGTCAGAAGTGTGACCGTCAAGACAAGAACCTCACTGTACGATCGTACTGTTAACAAGATTGTTCTTTTGGAATCAGTGGAGATGTCAGAGGACACGCAACTATGAATTGAACTTTGTACTTGTTTTAGTGAACTCTTAAGCGTAACGTTTTGCTCGTGTTAAGTTTCGTTAAAATCTTCAGCTATTGCCTCTGATTTTAGGGGCCGGAATGTTAGTTACAAAACGTATCCATTAGTTTTTGGTTATTTCCAACTCCTGGTCCTCGGGGACTGGGTAACAGTGTTCGAAGTATTATGGTCTGGGCCATGTGCTCGGTTAGTTTCACAAGCTAGTCATCAACACAAATTGTCCTTGGATTTCTCTATCACGAGCCAGCAAAGCTTGTAAGTGTTTTATTTCAGTTCTTTTCATGGTATTCGATTTCGCTTTGTTTATTATTCTTGTCTTTTCAGTCAAACCAAAACCGCCGAAGCGGGGGGGCCAACATCTCCTGCCACGGCAAAGCGAAAGTAAGGAGGAAGCTACAGGTTAGTCAATATCTCGTTAAATTCCACAAAAAAATCCATCAAAGTTAACCATTAGATGATTAACTTGTTTTCTTACAAAGTTCACAGTCACTTGAAGTTCACTGCAAGGTTCGAGTGCCAGTGTTTACCGCGGACAAAGGTCTGAAAGTGGACGTGAAACCATCGAACGGCTGTGTGTGTCATTCGTAATCCAGGCGAAGGTGAGTATTAATATTTTCATTTCTCTTCAAAACAAAGTGCGTTTGGAAGTTAATGTTTTTGGGTAAAGAATAGTTTTCGAAAGGTACTGGAAAAATTGTGGCCTATTTGCCTTTTATTGTGCCACAAGGGATCAAAATATGTTTTAAAACTCTTTTTTAATTATTCATCTAGTAATTTTACTTTGACGAAAGCAAACAGAACGTTGCCGAAAATTTAGTTTTTTTTGCATGCATTTACATCATTTTATAGCATTTTTAGATCCAAAAAAATGCACCAGTTAAAGTTTTGGAAAGAATGAATAAGACATAGTTCTCTGTTTTGTTCTCTTGCTAAATGCATAATAACATTTTATTCCGACCACGACAGTGCAAAACTGAGTAATGTCGCAGAGAGCTATCGCTCCAGCTAAAACCCATCTCACTGCTGTGCCTGCAAAGCAGCGTTTGGATGTCTCAGTATTTATTCCTCCTTAGATCCTAAAATTCTGTTATTGACATGTTTGAGGTCTTAAGAGCTCTTCGACATCTGTTTGTCCTATTTTGTGTCGCAAATTAGCCCATGTTGAGCTTGCTCTATGGCAACGCTGAATTTGACGTTATTGCAATTTTTTCTGAAATTTGACGTCGGGTAATGACCTAGAACATCTCCGACTACCGCAAAAATAAGATAGTATTAATATAAGAACCAACTTTGGTCTAGTAATGTCTGTAGGGTGAAAAAAACATACTATTCTTAGCACCAAATTAAATTTGCCATTTGAATGTAAAGTTCTGCAACACTGCGTTTTTGAATAACTCAATACTCAGTTTCCGAGAAATCATCCTGGTAATTACGTATGCAAAAAGGTAAGAGACGTGATATGTTTGCTACAGGCATAGACGTACTGTGTTACCTTTTATCTATTTTAGTAGATCACTTAGGATTTGCATGAAAGTTTACGTTTAACTCGGAAGAATTTGCCATATATTTATTTCAGCTGCTAATTCAGTTTAGCCCCTTGCTAGGATACGCTTGTGATTACTACCCGAAAGAAAGACCGTGATGTGGTCAGTCCGGTATTATGCCAGTTTTGGAAGAAGCGCAGACGTCGTGATTCTATTGTTTCGCCAAAATTGCAAAAACATAATCGCGAAAAAATATGGGCTCTTAGAACAGCTTGGTTCTAGGTTCCATCATTCGATATTCGGGACTTTCAAAGTCTCATTACAAGCATTCGCTCAAACGTTCCTTTTGCGAGAGTTGTGAACGTTTGGCAGGGAAGGGAATCAATAAAGTCCGTGTGATTTGAGAGCGACCTTCGAAGAAGACGCTGCCTTTTGACGGGCATCGAATGTAAGTGCATGTTTTTAATTTTCCTCGAGACTACAATATGTGAGTGTTGTGTCGCCAAAGTTTCATCGGTGGCAAAAGGTTAGTAAAAATGGCAACCACGTATTGAAAATAGCCGTCATAAGAAATGGTTTCTAACAGGAAAACGACTAGAAGTTTACATACAATGTATCGCGAGTACTTCGAGTCTTTTTTTTTTCATTTTCACACTATATTGCGTTAGTCTTGTTTACAAGATGAGAGTCTGTTATTCTGTGATAGCTGAATCATGTAAGCTGATTTATGAAACGAGTTTTTTTATCGGCATGAGAAGGCTGGAATTTGACTGAAATGTAGGTTTGATAAGGGGCACATTGAACATGCACATGCACTGATGCACATTTCTACATGGTGTATGTCCCGTTTGGTCAATGATTATTTCATTCCTTGTTTCTTATTTATTAGGATGTCCGTCCAAAATATGGACAACCATTTAGAAGTGTTAAAAAGTTGTTGCCGTCTGCCGGACTTGGTCCAATGAAATAAGTTTTGTGATCAATGCATTATTTGTTTAAGTTAAATTGCATTTTAGCATTGGCCCAGATTAAACGGCACACATACAGGGCTTTAGGAATGTTAGAGTTCAGCCCTGAAATAAGCAGTGCATGCATTCACAACAATGCGGGGCATCACACTGAATTGTTTGAGAAGTCAAGCAAAATAAAGGAAGGAAACACTCATTCTAAACCAGCCAGGCAAATTTTGGAAAACCTCTGCCATCAGCATTTTGTGAAGAAAGGGGAGAGAAATCTCCTTCGGAGAAAAGTCCCAGTGTCCAAACTTCATGTGTATTTTTTCGCAAACCCCTTTTCAACTTAAGCTTTAACATTACAACAAAAACAACACTCTGTGATAATTATACTTTTAGTAATTGTACTTAGAGGACAATTAGGCTACTGACCAATGGGGACACATTTGATACATCACAAGCAGACTACTGTTCCTGGTTCTACTAACATGTACACAGGCTAGCCATGCCTCAAAGCCTTTAGCAGTATTCCAAAACATATTCTGGTGTAGAGTGTGACCAAGTTCACAAGTATTTTATTTTTTGCCCAAGGAATTTAGAAAAATGTTGAGTTTTGCACTAATTAAAGTAAGTAATATTAGTATCTGAGAGCGGCAAAACAGTAGTTAGACTTTTGTTGGATTATTTCCTTGAGATACAAGCAAACAGTGACACATTTAAAACAAAATCACTGATTTATTCAGGAAATGAAACTTTTTATTGGTGTTTACCTATAAGACTTAAAGAATCCGAAGGGAAAACTACAACAGTCGAAGACTACATCATGTTGGTTTTGCAGTCTTTGTGGATTTTAGGAAAGACTACAACACATTTGACTTTTAAATATTCGACCAGGCTAAACAAAACCGAATATTTACGAGACAAAAATTACTGCAAAAACAAGAACTCTCTTATGACGTATTTCACTAAACATGAAATCACGTGGCGAAGAAAAAAAACTCTTCCCTAATACCTGTTTGAAGTTCGAGGTGATATAGCCAGGCTGGCTACGCAAAAGATTTTCCACGTGGATCTTTGCCTTTTTCGATACAATACTTAAACATCTTGGCGTAAACTTGGCAAATCTTCGGCGTGAACTTTGCGTGGAATAATCTTGTTTTTATAGCAGTAGCATCGACATTGCGAGCGCTATGAGCACTAGGTACATGTTACACTCAATATTCTAGCACAAGAATGGTTATTATCCGTATATATAATGACTTTTCCTATAAATTAGAAATAGAAAAGTCGAAATAAAACCCAAATTAAAGCAAATACTTTTACCCCGATATTCCCCCGCGTTCGGCCGCCATCTACGATCTTTTCACGTCTTGAAAATGGTCATCGCCATGGTGATCATGTTATGATTCGTGACGTAAAGCATTGTTCTCCCTTCTTCCAAAACTGGCATACTACCGGACTGTTAACATATGGTCTAAGGAAAATACCCCTGAGGGACTTTCAATATGCCTGACATATTCTGGAACCGAAGTAATGAGTAAATCAATCGTGGTCGCACTGCCATTAGCACATCGTGTCGATACATTCATCAACTGAGACCAAAAGCAGTCACAATTGGATGATGAACTATAGCTCGACCAGTTAATACTGGGAAAATTAAAATCTCCCAAAATAAAAATGTTCTTTGTTCTAGTTCGATAAATTTTGCAAAAGATATTCACAACATTCTGTAAAGAGCCAGAGTCCATATTCGATGGTCTGTAGAATACTGCAATAATCATTTTGGAGTTGTTAATGTCAGATATTTCACACACAACAGTCTCGACTTCATCCATTTCAAGATCACGGTGGCGAACGCATACAAAATCGGACTTTAAACACAGCAAAACACCACCACCACGTTGATCCTGTTGCCTATCTTGACGAAAGATAACGTAACTTGATTCGAGAATTTCACTGTCCATTATTCTCTGATGGAGCAAAGTTTCAGAAATAGCTACAACATCCACGCCTTTAGTTCTCACGACATCATGAAGTTCTCCAAGCTTGTTGCAAATTGATCTTGCATTTAAACAGGTGCGTGTTTAAAGAAAGACAGCGAATAATTAACTTAGACGATTGTTACCAGAGTACCGAGCTCGCCCAACGGCACGTTGAGGTCCACTTCCAGGATAAAATTTTATCTCGCCAGAGAGCAATAAATATTCCATGAAAAAATCTAGCACAAGTATTTGAGTAGTAGCTTACCCTAGCCGGATGAAACCTCTTCTCCTCAAGCGTCTAAACCTTTGACATCAACATGGCCGCCACGTGGTTCGAGGGGAAGCATTATTTCATCTTCATATGCCCAGAAACGCGTTCGAGTGTCTCTGACAACATCTTTCGAAGAGGCGTAAAGTCGGTTGCAGCCGGAGTAGCCATAATCAAAAGCCACAGGCCTTATAAGAAGCAAAAATTAACAAAAATTGCGGAGCACACAAACGCGTGACCACCTGCCACTATTATGACAATCATTGGGACAATCAAGTCATGGCTGTTACAGTACGTTTCAACAAACTTTTGGCAAACGGTTTCCGGAGTTCGTTTAAAATTCCCGAAGCTCGCAACGAACTTGGCAATTTCATTACGTAGTTGTCAATCAAATCGCGAGCGTGAATGTCACGCCGAACTTTGTGGAGTTCGCTACAAGCGAAGTTCGCACTATTTCGTGTAATTAGTTTGCTAATATATTTACAAGTGAATTTAAACGAAGTGAAAAAAATTCTCAACCAAACAAGGCTTATTTTATGATGTTTACTTCTGAAATGTAAATTATTTGAGGGTTACAGAGGGACTCCATAATCACAGACGGATGGCGCGATTTACGTCTTGTTTACAGTACAAGTTCAACAACACGATATTGAAACGTTCTGTTTTCTCGCGCTATGTCTAGAATGATGTATGTCCTGAAAGAAAAACGGTGTATTTTTTTTTTTATCTCTGATAGATTTTTAATGTACACGTAAATACTTTTAAACCACTATGCGTGGAAGTTCTACCTGAAGCTATCTGAGGAAACCGACGCGACAAAAATTGTATTCTTTTTTTAGGCAGGTGTCTGGTGACATTTGAGAAAAAAAAAAAGGTGTAAAATTTTACATTAGGATCAGCAAATAAGTCAATGCACTTCACATTTTAGCAATGTACAAATAACTGAAAACTAGTAATTTTTTCACTTCGTGTTTAAATTCATTTGAACCAACATCGCTCACAGCCGACTTCGCGACTTCCCAACAAAGTTCTGCGTGAAATTCACAACTTCGTTTCGAAGTTCGCAGTGTGGTTGACAACTACGTTTCGTAGCGAATTCGCGAATTTCAAACAAACTTCGGCAGCCATTTGCCAAAAGTTTTGTGAAACGCACTGTAAAAGCCAGAATTTTATTCAAAAACCGAAGTTTTTCTGTTTAACCTAATAGACCATGTGACGGCTTTATA